GTTAGGGATAACAGGGATGACCAGGGTAACTGGGATGATTGGGATGACTGGGAAGACTAGGGATGACTGGGATGATAAGGGATGACTAGGGATGACTAAGATGACTGGGATGACTAGGGAAGGGATGATCAGGGATCACTGGGATGATTAGGGATGACTAAACATGACTGGGATGATTAGGAATGACTTGGGATGACTGCAGGGATAAAAAGGGATGAATAGGGATGACTAAGGATAACTTGGGATGACTAGGGATCACTAGAGATGACTGGGATGACCAGGGATGATTAGGGATGAGGGCTAGCTGGGAGGAATCTGCATAAGTTCGATGACCAGGGATTACTAGGGATGACTGGGATGACTAGGATGACTAGGGATAACTGAGGTGACTAGGGATGACTTGGATGAGTAAGGATAACTGGGATGACTACGGATGACTAGGATGACAGGATGACTAGGAATGACTTGGGATGACTGGGATGAAAAGGGATGACTAGAGATGATTATGTATAACTAGGGACGACTAGGGATAACTGGGACGAGTCTGGATGACTTTGATGACAAGGGATGACTAGGGAAGGCTGGGATGACTAGGGATGACAAAGGATCAGTAGGGATGACTGGGATGATTAGGGATACCTAGGGATGACAGTGGGTTTCTCTTCCTGACTTACAGTTAATTTTTACTTTCACTACCGCCTGAATACCTTTTCACACTAAACCAAAGTGACTATAACAGGAAACTATCTCCTCTGTGATGCTCCACTTTTGAGATTGGAGGGCCAAAATCTCCATTCTTATGTGTGAACAGAAGACCTATCTGGTATGATTTCATCCTCGGAGACCCAGGGGCAGATAAAGGGGGCCAGGAAAAGTCTAAACGGGCAGAAAAATATATGGAAAGAAAAGTAAAAACGGCGAGAAGAGCCCTGGGGACAATGTCTTACCAGACCAGTTCCAAACGGTCGCCACCGTTCTGGCTTCTGATTGGTGCCAGAAAAACACAAGTTTTCTGGCACCAATCAGAAGCCAGAACGGCGGCAACCGTTTGGATCTGGTCTGGTAAGACATTGTCCCCAGGGGCTCTTCTCGCCGTTCTTTACTTTTACCTCGTCCCCACTATCTGCCCCTGGGTCTCCGCGGATGGTATGATTTTTGCTGGCACAAAAGTTACCTTCATGTAGTACAGTGTGAACATAGCTCAAAGGATGATATTTATGACAAATTATCAAACAGTGTCATGAATGTCTTTTATTGCTATCTAACTGCAAGTGTCATGCATCCCTCACAGTTTTTCTGTTCACCATTCATCTAGTGTGAATGTAGCCTGAGCCATTTGTTATGGCATGATTAAAGCTGAAATACCTCAAGCTTACTTTAACTATGAAGTATGGGTCAGCACACATCAAGAAGAGAAGTTCATCCAGAAAATGGAACAAGAGACCAAGCATGTCATCACCTGATAAAAGTCATATTATTTTTCTCAAATATTTAATAGTATTTATGACAGTTGTGAGGTTCATTCACAGTTATAGGAAATGAAGGGCTATAAACAAGAAAGTCCTTGTAATATCTGGAAATCTTCAAATGCATGGGCTCATTGTTATGCATTTATTTGAAGCATATGAACACAAAGTACAATGGCTACGTAATATTGACAGGCTCACGAGATAATTATTTATAACTGGATAAAAATGAGCGCATCTTGTTGTCCTCTAATCCACAACATAAAGATTACACAAGAGATGATTAAGTACTGGGGCAACTTCAAAGGAAGATAAAAGTAAAATGGTTTACTTTCAATGGAAAATAGAAAGAAAATACTTTTTAAAAACAATCTGACAGATTATATGAGTTGAATGAAACATTATAACCTAATGATACCTTCCGCTGTAATTTCTTCTACCCTCACAATGTCAACTGTGCATAAATCTGTCATGTAGCCAAACATGGCTGTTGCTACCTTAACACAATATTAAAATGATGAGAAATTATTCTGTGCATTAACAACAATGTACCCAGGGGGACTTCCTAGGAACAGGCTAATGGAGATGTGTTAAACCAGAAACTCATTATGAGTTTCTGGTTAAACTTAATGCACTAAGGCAAATGTTGCAATTCACTTCAGGATGACCTAGTTCAAAGGCTTTACAAGGTAGATGCATAAAGAAGTTTGGATCACAACAATCACATTTGCCCCCAAAAAGCTAAGATGCAGTCTATAATAACTGGCCACAGAATAGATTATAATGGGTTCTAAAGGGGTTCTGTGAAGCCAGCGGCACATACTGAGCAAAAAGTTGACTGAGGTAAGCCCTCCCCCTGCCAGATTAACTACCAAACAAAATGAATCAAAACAGAGGCTTAAAACGAGACATAGTATAAAACTGATCATGTATACAAACTAAAAAAAATTATACCTGTTCAAAGGCTTCCTTCAGATTGTCACCCCCTAATTAGTTCAAAGATGTCAACAGCAATTTATTTCAAATAAAGGAAATTATTTAACAATACCACAAAAAGTTGTTGGGAAATAAAGTGGGATCTACAAATGTATTTACTAGTGGCAAAATGAATTACAATAGAACTTGAGCTCTCTGCGGTCGTCAACTATAATTGTACAAATAATGCAACATATCACTTCAGAGCAAAAAAATGACTTTAAATGGGTAACATTATTACTAGTAACCCAGGACTTTGTGGCTCACAAATAAGGACAAGAAACAATAACTGAAATTAACATACCAGTAATATAATAATCAGTTGGATATTTGAAAAAGGAGATGCATGGGCGATGCTGAGAATTATCATTCAGATAACACAGAGGAAATATCCGCAATAGTAATTAACTTTTCATATACATGTACAATATCCACATCTTCATAAAAGGATACAAGCATGGAGTCTGCAAAAAAATAATAAATTATAATAATTGATTAGTAATGATAATAACAATAGTACTAAGAACACAATTTTTAAGTAAATTTTTGGGAGATAAAGAAGTTTTCAGTTAGTGTTGACAATTTATTCCAAGTTGCATGTATCCCGCAGGGTGCCTCACAAATAAGCAGCAGCGGACTACACTACTTTTGATGAATCTTTGAATAAAAGTGATTGTTGCATAAATTGCTCCTATTAACAAATCTTGTAGTTTCCCAGGCTCTCCTTCCTAGGGACCATCTGTATCACAGTATCACATCATGCAAGTCATTCCAGTGGATTTGATTGTGATAGGGGTGGCTGGACTGGTTTCCACTTGAGGGACTCTTATGGCAACCTCTCTGCTGTGCCTAGATTGTTTAGGCCCTTACTATGCTAACTTTTAAGGGACAAGTTCCTTAGCTCAGCAGTTGCTGGGGATGTGATCGGGGAGTGGTACTTACTGAACATCAGCTGTATGATCCAAATCTGTAGCGTTACAGACAAAAAGAAAAAAGGAGACAGAGATGAGTCTATCCAGCATTGGCTTTAGTAGGGACTTATTGCAAATCACTATGGCAACATTCCTTCCGGAGGTCATGGATATAGAGTCCTGGGGAGAGTACGCTGCCGTAGCCCACCAAATTTCAACTTTAAGCAAGTTGTACCCAAACAGTTATAATTATGGGGTTTCTCGCTCATTTGCTTTCGCTGTTAGTAAAAGGTAGGGAAGATCTAATAATTAGAAAACCAGAAGTGTCAAATCCCAGGGGCCCCACTCACATATTTTAACGATGGGGGGTCCGAAGGATTTTTTTTGGTCTGACATTTTGGCCAAAAGGGATTTTTTTGGGTCTGTGAAAGACGCCGGGATTTTTCGGGTCGCGAAAACAACAGAGGGATTTTTTTGGGTATTGTATTTTTCATCAGCTCAAATCAAAAATAACATAAGCGCAATTTACAGAATTCTTTTTGAACAAAACCAAACTTGAAGTTGGCATGTTTTATCTTTCCAGAAGATAAATAATAAAATTTGCTGATGCAAAAACGCTGAGGGATTTTTTTGGGTATGCTAAAAAAAGTAGGGATTTTTTGGGTAGACAAATTCTGAAGTTGGGATTTTTTTGGGTATACAATATGAACCTCTGTCAGACCCCCCACCCCTGTCGTTAAAATATGTGAGTGGGGCGCGCCCCTGGGCATCAAACACTTTCTTGATAAGTGAAAACAATCTATGATAGGTTTTAAACTTGTGACTGAAAAAAATAGGAAAAAAGTTGAACTTTATACTCACGCAAGAGTGATTACGACACAAGACAGGTCTTCGATCACATTTTACGATCTGATGCTACGGCAATTAAGGTCATTTCCAAACATACATGTACGCACTGCATTTATTGAGGGCTTTTTTACTTCCAGCTGCTGTAGTACAGGTCACCATAGTGATTTTGCTTAAAGTCCCTAGTACATGTATTATGCATTACTCTTAACAAAAAAGTAATGAATATAGAGAAAATTATACACAATTGTACAAAATGAACCAGCTGAATGCTTCTTGGTTTAGATTATATTTTCCTTTGTTTTTGGGTATGGTTAAGCATGATAATGAGTTTGAAACAAGACAATAAATAAAATTTAAACCAAGAATAGAATTTCTGAGCCACAAGACATGAATAAATTTATAAATTAATTTGTGAGAACTGAAGATCCCGTGTTATAATAGTAGTCAGTTAGTACTGATCTATGTGCAAAACCAAACTGTATGTAGTGAAAGTAGTATTAACATTTCACTACTGTTTCTTTAATAGTTAATACTTACACTCATATTTGACAGTTTTTTCTCCGCTTGCAGAACTTTCAGCCATGTTAAGGGACAAAAAGAGATTCCTACCGCGCAAAATGCAAACACCTTAAGCTGATGACTTCGATTTCACCACAATTTCATCACTTCTATCGCTATTATCGCGTTCAACCGTCCGCCATACTGATTGCGCCTGCGATTATTTAGTACGTTAAGAGCATGCGCCTAAAAGCGTTACTTCGACCAAGATGGCGGCAGATTTGAGTGTCGCCAATGCTGTTGTTGTTATTCAGGTAAATCAAATAGAAACCACTGTCCCAAGACAACTTTGTAGATTACTAAGTTGTACAAGATTATCTAAATATTGTCTTGTTTGTATGCCCATCAACAGGCACAAATTCGAGGATTCCTAGTTCGTAAAAAACTCCAAGAAGTCCGTAAGGAATTTGAAGAAGTTCTACAAGAGTTAGAAAGCGACGTAAAATTCGTGTGCTGGAAGAAAAAGGATTTAGCGATGCCACTGGTAACTTCCGATCCCAAATTATTTAAGAGCACAAATGATGAATCAAACCTTGTTAGCAGAGAAAATGACAATGAAATAACAAGGAAACAAGGCTTATTAAAGGAGGGATTGCGTAGTTGTAGCAACGTCGACGAGACCGGTGGTCATTCACTTGGAAATGAAGTACTAAATGAATTACATACCGATCAAGTTGAAAAAGAGGAAATTATAGACCATGACGGAACTATACCGGAAAGAACTTCAAGATCTGCAAGATGTGATGATGATTTTCGAAAGAACCTGGAATTTCTTCCTGAGAATGAGGTGGTCGAAATGGAAAGTGGAAGCGAGAAAAGGCCTCACCCTGCAGAAAAAAGACTTGAAAGGCGAGAAGATTTAGGTGGTCATGAAGAATTCGAAGAGAGAGGATCTGATTTGGGGGCTGATAGATTACCCCAAGAAAGAACGTTGTATTCTTCTTCAGATATTCCTTTAAATGGCGCTATCAATCCTCTGTTGTCCAGTAACGAGGAAGTAAAGGGAAAAGAACATAACAATGGATCTAAAGCATCGCCCATGGATTTGGGGCAAAGGAGATCTTATTTGAGGGATCAGGCACTTCTCAGTGATAGTTGGATGAGTGACAGATCATTTGGTAAGCTAACAATTAACAGCCGCTGTTTACAGTTATACAGTGTGGGACAATGTTAATTTAAAACTTTTAGACAGATAAAAATAGATGGGGCTGTAAGGACTTAAGCCCATTTTTCACCAAAATTAAAAGAATTCTTTTTTGATCATAGTACAGTGGAACCCCGTTAATACAGACACCAACAGGACACGCTATAGTGTCCGTATTAAGTGGATTAATTTTAGAGAAAATATATAACCCTCTATTTTGTCGGGACAAACTGTCTGTCATATACAGTTGTCAGTATAAGCTGGTCCTGGGGGGGGACTCCCATATGAAACAGACGGGGATGCTCGTCGGAAATTTTGAATTTAACCCCGAAAGGAGACCATCTGTGCGTGGCTCAAGCAAATTTTGACCCCTTAAAGAGACCGCTTAAAAACACACAAATACGACATGCAACGAGTTTTGATGATATAAAGACATAATCATCGAATGCTTTTATCTAAAAGTAGTTTTTAAAAGCATTGTCATAAATCTCAAGCTCTTCGCAGAGCACACATGTCCAATATACACAAACGGATACGATTCGTCAAACTGATGGTCCATTGGTACCAATGGTACGATTGGTACCAATAGAAAAGCACCCTATTCCAATGGTTCTGTTGGTGCATATGCATCTAATTAAGGGGACTTAGATTATTTTCCCATGTGACCTGGTTGGATACAGGGCAATTCCAATGGTCTATTGGTACCAATGGTACGATTGGTACCAATGGAAAAGCACCCTATTCCAATGGTTCTATTGGTGAATATGCATCTCATTAAGGGGACCTAGATTATTTTCCCATGTGACCTGGCTGGGTACAGGGCAATTCCAATGGTCCATTGGTACCAATGGTACGATTGGTACCAATGGAAAAGCACCCTATTCCAATGGTTCTATTGGTGAATATGCATCTCATTAAGGGGACCTAGATTATTTTCCCATGTGACCTGGCTGGGTACAGGGCAATTCCAATGGTCCATTGGTACCAATGGTACGATTGGTACCAATGGAAAAGCACCCTATTCCAATGGTTCTATTGGTGAATATGCATCTCATTAAGGGGACCTAGATTATTTTCCCATGTGACCTGGCTGGGTACAGGGCAATTCCGATGGTCCATTGGTACCAATGGTGCGATTGGTACCAATGGAAAATGATGCCATTCCAATGGTTCTATTGGTGCAAAACAAGTTCACTTTTACACCAAGTGAAAACGCGCTAATAATTATTATGAACATTCCTCGTTCTATAAGAAAACCACGCAAAACAAGTTCGCTTTTACATCAAGTAAAAGCGCTCTATAATTCTTATGAATATTCCTCGTTCTATATCCCAATCACGCAAAACAAGTTCGCTTTTACACCAAGTAAAAGCGCGCTATGATTCTTATGAATATTCCTCATTCTATAAGCCAACCATGCAAAACAAGTTCGCTTTTACACCAAGTAAAAACGTGCTAATAATAATGAATATTCCTCATTCTATAAGCCAACCACGCAAAACGAGTTCGCTTTTACACCAAGTAAAAACGCTCTAATAATTATTATGAATATTCCTCGTTCTATAAGCCAACCATGCAAAACAAGTTCGCTTTTACACCAAGTAAAAACGCTCTAATAATTATTATGAATATTCCTCGTTCTATAAGCCAACCACGCAAAACAAGTTCGCTTTTACACCAAGTAAAAACGCGCTAATAATTATTATGAATATTCCTCGTTCTATAAGCCAACCACGCAAAACAAGTTCGCTTTTACACCAAGTAAAAGCGTGCTATAATTCTTATGAATATTCCTTGTTCTATAAGCCAGCCACACAAAACAAGTTAAAACAAGTTCGCTTTTACACCAAGTAAAAGCGCGCTATGATTCTTATGAATATTCCTCGTTCTATAAGCCAACCACGCAAAACAAGTTCGCTTTTACACCAAGTAAAAGCGTGCTATAATTCTTATGAATATTCCTCGTTCTATAAGCCAGCCACACAAAACAAGTTAAAACAAGTTCGCTTTTACACCAAGTAAAAGCGTGCTATAATTATTATGAATATTCCTCGTTCTATAAGCCAACCACACAAAACAAGTTGCCTTCTACACTAAGTAAAAATGCGCTAATAATTATTATGAATATTCCTCGTTCTATAAGCCAACCACGCAAAACAAGTTCGCTTTTACACCAAGTAAAAGCGCGCTATAATTATTATGAATATTCCTCGTTCTATAAGCCAACCATGCAAAACAAGTTCGCTTTTACACCAAGTAAAAACGCGCTAATAATTATTATGAATATTCCTCGTTCTATAAGCCAACCACACAAAACAAGTTGCCTTCTACACTAAGTAAAAATGCGCTAATAATTATTATGAATATTCCTCGTTCTATAAGCCAACCACGCAAAACAAGTTCGCTGTTACACCAATTAAAAACGCGCCATAATTCTTTTGAATATTCCTCGTTCTATTGGCTAACCACGCAAAACAAGTTCGCTTTCACACAAAGTAGAAACGCGCTAATAGTTACAAAGCAAGGGCGACCTATATATCTAGCGCTAATAATATCTCAAGGTGCTGCGAGTATAACAAACATCGTACGAACATTAAAATTGAAAGGGAACGCGTCACTGTCGTGTTCGTTCTGTTTATTGTGATTCACGAGCAAACAACAACATGACATATGAATGTCTTCTTTCCTGTACGCAAGCACTATTTTTTGGTAATTCTTACTCGTTAAAAGAACCCGAAACAACGCGGAAAGGCGCGAAACTAGCAAAGTGGTATTGAGGCAACAGGTTTTAACAACTGTACTCAACTCACTGTGAAATTAACTTCTGAAATTTCTTAGCGCAATTTCATTATCTACATGAAGAGTTTCCGAAAAGGGTGGTTATATCATGCTGTTGGTTATGACTTTGTATTGTATTTGGTGGCTCCCAAGAGAGCCGTTTTATATTCAAGTGACTGAGTCACTTTTGACTGTTGACGTGGGGTTTGTCGTGGTAACCCATTGAGGTACACCAGTTTGCTATAATCAACGTCATAGTAAAACCATTGATGTATTTAATGTCAACGTTGTCGTTGACAAATTGTATTTGCCGTGCTCTTTTCTCGGCTGTAGCTTGCAATGAGGCCCAGGACTGAGCTAGAAGAATCCATCTACTGATGATTTCAGGATTGCACCCGTTGCCGTGGAAAAACAGCAGAAGTTTGAATGTCTCCTTATCACTCATAAACATGTGAATCGACGGAGATTTTTATTTTATAATGGATGCATATTCACCAATAGAACCACTGGAATGACATCATTTTCTATTGGTACCAATCGTTCCATTCGTACCAATAGACCATTGGAATTGCCCTTTACCCAGCCAGACCACATGAGAAAATAATCTAACTCTCTTAATGAGATGCATATTCACCAATAGAACCATTGGAATAGGGTGCTTTTCTATTGGTACCAATCGTACCATTGGTACCAATGGACCATTGGAATTGCCCTGTACCCAGCTAGACCACATGAGAAAATAATCTAAGTCTCCTTAATGAGATGCATATTCACCAACAGAACCATTGGAATAGGGTGCTTTTCCATTGGTACCAATCGTACCATTGGTACCAATGGACCATTGGAATTGCCCTGTATCCAGCCAGACCACATGAGAAAATAATCTAAGTCCCCTTAATGAGATGCATATTCACCAATAGAACTATTGGAATATGGTGCTTTTCTATTGGTACCAATCATACCATTGGTACCAATGGACCATTGGAATTGCCCTGTACCCAGCTAGACCACATGAGAAAATAATCTAAGTCCCCTTAATGAGATGCATATTCACCAACAGAACCATTGGAATAGGGTGCTTTTCCACTGGTACCAAGCGTATCATTGGTACCAATGGACCATTGGAATTGCCCTGTACCCAGCCAGACCACATGAGAAAATAATCTAAGTCCCCTTAATGAGATGCATATTCACCAATAGAACTATTGGAATATGGTGCTTTTCTATTGGTACCAATCATACCATTGGTACCAATGGACCATTGGAATTGCCCTGTACCCAGCTAGACCACATGAGAAAATAATCTAAGTCCCCTTAATGAGATGCATATTCACCAATAGAACCATTGGAATAGGGTGCTTTTCCATTGGTACCAATCGTACCATTGGTACCAATGGACCATTGGAATTGCCCTGTACCCAGCCAGACCACATGAGAAAATAATCTAAGTCCCCTTAATGAGATGCATATTCACCAATAGAACCATTGGAATAGGGTGCTTTTCCATTGGTACCAATCGTACCATTGGTACCAATGGACCATTGGAATTGCCCTGTACCCAGCCAGACCACATGAGAAAATAATCTAAGTCCCCTTAATGAGATGCATATTCACCAATAGAACCATTGGAATAGGGTGCTTTTCTATTGGTACCAATCGTACCATTGGTACCAATGGAGACCCTTCTTATCACCACTAACACCAATGGAGTCTATTTGTGAGTATTGGACAACCCTCTCGCAGAGCCCTAAACGAGACCTCGGCGGCTTAAAATATTGGTGCTTTGCCCGGAACACCCTAAGCGAGACCAAAATCCAAAATTTACACCCCTAAGCGAGACGACGAGCATCCCCGTCTGTTTCATATGGGAGTTCCCCCCCCGGGAAGCTGGTGTCCGTACAGCAGGGGTTCACTGCACTGTTTATGTGGCATTTTTGTACATTATGATTATCAGTGACAAGAGTGCTTTGTTTAAACCTTAGAGGGGGGTACTCCGGATTTCAAGTGATGGGGGTCATTGAATAGAGGCAAAAATCAAAACGCGAAAAACGTCCTCAGGGCTTCCAACAAAACCCAAACAATATCCAAAAATTAACCCCCCAAAAATCCCATGCCAAAGTTCCCATCCCTAACAAGTTCGGTTGTACATTTCTGCAGAACTAGAACACGGCGCAATACGTGAGCTATACCATGAATCTTCAGATTGTTTTGAATACCCCCAAAAATTTCAACGCCCAAAAAACTTCCATCATCCTCATCACTTGAAATCCGAAGTAGCTTCCCTCCCCCCCACCCCCCACCCCTTGGGCATTTAAAAAGCTAATTTTGATGGTCTATTCCTCAAGCAAGGTTATGTATAAAATCCTAAGGCAAATGCATGTTATGATTTGGGACCAGGTTAATTTTTGTTAATGAAGGTTGGGGAGATGGGGGGTGAGGTTAAGGGGTACTGGTACTGCAAAAGAGACAGTCTGCACGTTTTTCCAGAGGCTTGTACCTCTGAACATGCTATAGATTAGCCTGCATAGCAAGCATTAATTTGTTTTACCAGGGTGTTCATTAGGCATCGGAGATTGGAGAATTCTCTGTTTACAATGAAAAATTCTCCTGCTAACGTTCGGTAGCCTGTGACTATTTTTATTCAGATGAGGAGTCTCTTTCAAAATATTTCTTTAGTAACATTACCCCTTTCACCATACTCCTGCTTCTAGAATTCTTAATGAAAACCCTGTTATACACTGTAGACAGGCAATACATTGTTTTATTTCTGCCCATCAATCCGGTGTTGTACATGTCTCTTGTCAGATCCAGTGGAAGATGACAAAACAACAGCATTTACTGACCTTCCCACTGATCCTGTTAAACTACGTGAACTTAGAGATCACATTGGAATGGAACTACTTTGGACAGAGCAAGCAATACAAAGTAGGAAAAAGGTAAGAGCCAAGACTCCTTTATTATCCAATACTACATAATTATTTTCTTTACAACCAACCATGCTTCTAGTACAAGCATGTGGTAATGGTCAGATCATGCAAATGAGTCTCACCCAAAACACGGAGGGGTAATATTTAGAATAAAAGTTTAGTGTACACTTTTAACAAGTGCACTCTCACGAGAAGGTCATAATATTTCCTGACACGAACATTGAAACTCGATCCTTGATCATCGTGACGCGAGACTCCATCCTCAAAAGTTTTGAGAATTGAGAATCAACTCTTGAGAATCGAGTCTCAAGGATCGAGACACAAGTGACTGTCAACTTACTTTTAAGTGGTACTGTATGTATCATTCATTCTAACTTTCGAATCTGTGGACAAAATCCTATCATAAGAACCTTTTTGTAGTAAAAGAACAGGAAACATTGAGGTATCTCTAGTTTTCAAATCGTACAGTGCAGTCAATACAGTTCACATATAACACGGTGTCAATTTCAAGTGAGCGCCTTCCAGTGGTTGGTCGTTTGATATAGTTTGACTGCATTGTGTGATGGGAAGATGCCATTATCCTCCATTCATGTTTAAATGTTATCATTCAAATGAAACTTCAGTGGCAGAACTTTTGCATCATAAGACTTAACAAAAAGAAATAACGAATTTTTTGGCAAGAAGGGGGGTGGGGGGGGGGGGTGAATTTCCACTCTGGCCTCTGTTAAAAGTGAAAGAGAACTCTCCATTTCTCTCCTAGTTTACACTCTGTGCCAGTACCAGTGGTGTTTGTTGAGATTGCTATGCATGACTGATTAGTTGTTATGGTTGTTGTTTTCAGTACCTGAATTTAAGAAAGGACCTGTCACATCAAGAGTGTGGCTCTGATTGAACCATCACCTGGGACTGAGCAGCAGATTATGAACTTGGTTTTCCATTGGCTGTCAAGAGCTCTGGTATAAAAATTGTTAGATATTGCCAAACACTGTGCAGTATGCAAACCTCTCATTGGGCACACCTGCCCAAGATGGACACCTCCCCATTATGGACAGTTGTATATTGGTTCCAAACTTCGTTTCTACAATTCCTTCCTCCATAATACAAATGAGATAACACCTACTACCCAAGCCATGTAGGGCTGCTGTTACACCAATACATCAGTGAACTGGATATTTCTTTCCCAGAGCAAATGACACTTAACAAGATATCTACATAATTTGCGGTAAAGTGTACAATACGCAACATGAAAAAAATTGAGATCAAAGTTTCCTATTAATTACCCAGCCTCTGCAGATCATAGTTTCCTATTACCTGACCTCTGCATATTTTCATCCAGGCAATGTAAGGTGACTTGTAATGGACTCAAATGGAAAAAAGAATACCATCACTACTTTGTGTGTTTCTCATTCTATTCAAGGTTGCAGTTATTAGCACATGCTAATGACTACTAGTCAATGTAACCCCTACCATATACCCCCTCTCCACCAGACCAGTCATACATGATGACGTGGGGATCACCTCTTCTCTCCATGTAGGTACCTACATGTATCATATACAGTGAAACCTCTATTAAGCAGACACCTTCGGCTTCGGGACCTTCCCAAGTGTCCACTTAATAAAGGTTGTAAACATTGCACAATGTTTGTTACCGATCAAAATTCAGCGCTTACTCTGTACTGTGATAAAGTTGCATGTTAAAGAAGCTATCCAGAGTTAAAGTTCATTACCTTTCATTACCTACTTTAATTTGTTTGTAAATGCTAAAACATTAACTGACTTCAGTCCATCTTCAAGGACGTAATCCAATACTATGATTGTCAATTCAGTCCAGTGTCCGCTTAATAATAGAGGTTTTTAACAATAGAAATTAGCCAAATACACCGTATTTTAGTGTCTCTGTCCGCTTAATAGGGATGTCCACTGAAAATAATGCAAGACGCTAATTTCAGGATCCAACTTAGCATCCGCTTAATAGAGGGTGTCCGCTTAATTGGGGGTCCACTTAATAGAGGTTTCACTGTAATTATTTCATTTTTCTTGTTGTTCTTCTATTAGTTTTCCTTTTTAGGTTTAATGTGTAACCATATTACTTAAGGTATCATCCACCCTTAAGCACCCTCCCCGCGTTGATCGGCGCTAGCGCTTTTGCTTTTAATAAATACCCCCATAAACCGTACATTTTCTGAAAGCTTAATAGTTCCAGATTATTGCTTATTCCCTTTAAAATAATCAAATATTAACGCGATTCAGAAATGGGAAGCTTTTTGTGAAAGTGGGTGTCGCTGTAAATTTAAGTCCAGGCCAGCCGAAAATAAACGGAAGAAGCCAATTAAGATCGCATTCGCTTCTTAACACGTTTGACTAAAAAACCGTGTCTCAGATTTTTGTCAAGTGGTTTTGTTCTTTTGTTATAAGCAGTTAGGGATAGCAAATCATTAGCACTACCTGTGAAAAAAATACTCTTACTCGAAAACGAACAAAGAAATCAAAATTCGCAGACACGGTTTTTTAGAAAAACTATCTGACAGTAAGTTGGCCAAATTTCAGCCAAATTGGTTCACGGGTTGCCGACTTGGAGTTCAAAACGTACCCTCAACTTGCTCTGATTTTCATTTCGAGAAAACAGGGGAAAAAGATTTTTGGCGGCGTATTGCCCGTGACGAGATTATAACAGATTATAACACCAAAGCTGTCAATGTTGATGCATACCAGAAAAGGGACAACAATAGTGACACAGCAGGAAAAGGTTACAAACGAAACCCAACAACAGATGAACAATTTATTTCGAACGCTCTGCTCTGTTCGATCCTTCTGTTGTCGAGAAAGCATCTTTAGTTATTTGCGACGGGCAGTTTTCATTTTGAGCCAAGCCAACTTTTACTCGATACATTTTCTAAAAGTTCGACACTTCCCTGGAAAAATCGATAACAAACCGCTTCCTGGAGTTTTTCTTGAAGCTGCTCTCCCGCTACAATAGACTTTCAAAAAAGTCCTTCGTCCGATTTTTATATGGCGCGGGACCGGTCGCGAATTTGTCGCTTGCTTGGCCGCTTCGTGACCTAAAAAGCTCGCTCCGCTCGCTAAGAAACTTGTGAAACTCGATTTCGCGGTAGTTTCAATGGGTTTTTTAGAAGCTTTGTCATCTTTTAGCCATTTTTCTTGATTGTAGTAGGAGCCCTTGTCACTCTCTGCTAATTTCGAAACCCACACTTTGCAAAACGATTTTGTCGTCTTCTTTCGTCTTGGAGTCAAGGACGAAAACGGACAAGCTCTTTTTTCTTCTTTGGAGGCATTCACTTCCAAAATCCAGGGAAAAACAGTGATTACTATACTTGTAGACCACGATTTCTGTCAAATTGTGTGATTAGCTTGGTTCAACAGCGGCATGCATATCAAGTATGACAGGACTTGTCAACGATCAATTAAAATAATTAGCATAGAAAAAACTTTTGCGCTCCGTAAGTCTGCACAGAAAAAACCTTTTTTTGTGGAATTTTTTTTAAAAGAAAGCTCTTGATGAGCTCTACTTAATCATCTAAAAATTGAAAATTTCGAAAAATGATGGGTTTTTACCCTGGATGATACCTTAAACCTCTCTGTTTGCAAAACTATAACTTTGTTTACTTCTTTCTTCTTATTTTTTAAATTAGTTTTTAAGCTCTCTACTCATTTGTAAACTGTGTTTAACTTTTAAATACACGACTACATCAGCTCTGCTGTAATTTTTATCGTGTTTAAATAAATGTTGCTGTTTGCTGTTTTTTTGTGCTGTTCAGGGTAACAGGCAGCACATGAGAGCTCTATAATGGCGTAAAACTGTCTGTTAACCTTTCATTATTTGTGCGTTTGTTGTTGGAGCTTCGAGAAGTCTTTTTCCCTAGAGAGAGACTGACGAGAGACTCCAATCCTCTATGTTCCTGCCAAAGTCCCACATAATGACATTGCCTGCTTTTGGGGAGGGGGCAGGGGTGAAGGGTGAGGGTGGGAGGGTGATTTACAAGGACTGGTGCGTTGCTAATATTTTAGGTTGGCTAGTCTGGAACGCAGGTTAAGACTTGCCAGCTGTCATTTTGTGCACGTAGCTCCACAAGTGATGAGAACTAGTCTACTACCATGTCCTTTCCTGGCCTTTGTATTGCGATGTGTATCACACCATGGCAAAACATTGTAGCCCAACACGATCCTCTTAGCAATGGTCACAGGGCCTTTACAGTATATTACGGTGGCCATAATCTAGCCGAGTTTCTAATAGTCACCATAAAATTACGAATATAGAATATGTTGATTTTCAATGGGGTTGCTATTTTTGGAACATAACAGATATTACCAGGCCTTTCCCCGACTGTGCTTCCTCATTTTCTTTGGATTATCGCAAGCCAAGAGTGGGTCATATATTAGAATAACAAACATCACGAGTCCAACCGTATCTGAATGTGTTTATATAAGCAGGGTGCAAGGAAAGTCATTTTTAAAGCTTGCCATTTGGGCAAGCCCATGGGCGGATCTAGGGGCAGGGTGCAGGGGTGCACCCCCCGAGATGACCTGCGGTTTTCTAATACAACTGGTATTCTGTATTCTGGTTTATTGGTGTTGACAAGAGACGAGTGCACCCCCTCCTAAAAAAAATCCTCGATCCGCCCCTGAAGCCAAAGCTAGCATAATATTATACTAGCCCAAACGTCATTTTAACTAGTCCCAAAAACATTTTGATGACCAGAATTCATTTTACAGTTTTTCTGTAATTTAAATTCCTCAAAAAATTTCACTTGCCCATCGGGCAAGTTAAGAACAAAATTCCCTAGCATAGCAAAATCCACTAGCCCCAGGCTATCAGACACTACTTTCTTTGCACACGTACTGATATAATGTTCATGAAACCATGTGAAAAGCAACCAGAAGCTAATTTCCTTTGTAGCTTCCCACTAAGACATTGGGTTCTTGAATACTGATCTTATATGTATTTGCAAACAGTAATGAAATAAAAAAAATACAAATGTAAATATATCTAGGACAGCTTTATTTTTCTACTACTTTGCCGGTTTTCTATAAAAATGACTAATTCCTCAAATCTAGTACGATGGAATTCCAATAATATTACTGCTTACATAACAGACAGTTCAAAGGTTTGTATACATCAAAAAAACGTTTCTATAAAATACAGTTAATCGCAATAGCATATAATTATCATGGCCATGACCATTTTCAGACTAAAAGTTAAGATTGTAGTTCAGTTAACTGTTAAACAAAAGATTGTAGTTCAGTCAACTGTTAAATCAAATGGAAAAAAAATCTATCAACAGCACAGCCTCAATGTTCCTCACTTGCTGATCTTGTTTACAACAAGCTGCAACACAAAAAAATATATGTAAAATTCTAATGCACCACAAAACTCAAAACAAATCCTTCTTGAGATCGGATGGTTGGTTACTTATTTAAGCATTTAGAAAAAAATTAATTGAACTGAGAACACTTTGAGCTGTAGGGAAATGGTGATGAGAATGACGGTCTCCGAGTTCCAAAACCTCTCACTTTCAAAACGAGGCTAAGTGCAAAACCTTTGTTGGCACATAGCCTTGCTTTGAAACAGGCTTGGGGCAACTTGAAAAAGGGCAATTTGTTTTTGCTTTACAGCGTCAAGGTGCCTGTTAGCAAAGGGTAAAATTCATCAAAATTAAAACATCGGGAACAACTAGTATCACCAAATTTACTTAAACAAAAAATAACTGCCAAAAACATTAAAAGAAGATATAACCATACAGCAAAGACAAAAAAGCATGGGTGGACACACTTCCAGATGAAAACAGATTGCAACTATGGTTTTTAAAAACTGATATGTTCACCGGACTGATTATCAGAGTTTTTTGATCGTTTGTTGGTTTTTTAAGTAACAAT